TGATTGATGTTCTTACTGAAGTCAGTAGGCTTCTTCCCTTGGAACTCCTTTTTCTTCTTTAACTGAGAGAAGTGGCGTGTAAGAACATCCAAAGCCTTAGCAATACTTTCAGCATCAAGAGACTCATCATCAGAATCCTCTTCGTCTTCAGCCTGTGTTGGAACATTGGCTTTCAGGGCTAAGCCTTTGCTTATTCCCATCTTATCATAACCACGATTGATTTCAAAAGTTCGAAGTTCTCCAAGTAAGTCATCAAGACCAAGAGGCTCGACTCGCTGAAAGCTCTCAAGTGCGGTGATCTTTTCACGGAATCGTTTGGCAAGGGTCCTCATGATCTTTTGCACTTGCCTCGCCTCAGAAATTTCCTCACCAAGCATGGCACTTTGGTTAACGAGATCACAAAAACGTGCATAGTACCTTTCAATATTTTCATCATCCTTCATGCGGATAGTGTCGAACTCCGTGGAAATCATTTGGAGCTTGGAAGACTTCACGGCATTGGTACCCTCAAATTGCCTCTCAAGAATCTTCCATGCGTCGCGAGCTGTTGTGCACTGGATGATCATCTTATGGCGAGTTGGATCCACAGCAGACATGATAGCATATAATGCACGAAAGTTTGCTTCTTCTGCTTGTCTTTCAACATCAGTCCAAATATCCCTTGGTTTCTCGACTAGAACATGAGCAGCCGAGGTTGATGACTTTGATTCCGAGGGAGCTTTCGGCATGAGTGGTGTGGTCCAGCCTGACTCAATGACTTGCCAGGTTCCTTTACCCAAAGAGCGAATAAATATCACCATCATGGATTTCCAGTATCCATAGTTAGAACCGTCGAGGTACGGAGGGCGCGAAACGGACATGCCGTCGTGAATCATGGTGACCAATCACAGTCCCAAAGATCTTTATCCCGTATGTAGAACAGGAACACTGCTCTGGTGCCATCATGGATTTTTTTTTAATATATGAGTTTATTTCATTTTGTGAATTTTGAAACGTATATTTGTCACGGAGTGCGCTAATTGTAGTACGAACTAAAACAAAAATTATAAAATGCGGAAGCAATAAATCGAAGATTTAAAAACTCTTCAGGGAAGCGTCCCACTTCCCCTCAGAGCTCTTTCATTGATAAACCGTTTGTGCACACTTGTATAGTTTGGACTTACACGACTCGAACTCCCTTCTAGTCTAGCCACAACTACACACGATTCTATCAACTACTTCTCCGACCACGTCCCGTGGATTTTACCTCTCGAATCCCTCGAGCTAAAGACAGTACTTAATCCCTAAGCACTGATCACACAAGTGTTTGAATGAAAAACAAAGAAAAGAAAACAAAACAGACTTCAGTTCTTTGATGACGTAAGAACACCGAAAAACTGACCAACGAAAATAAAACACAAAAAGCTTGCAGCTCGAATATGGAATAGAATATAATGCTCTCAGCTCTCAGCTCTCCAAAATTCGTTCTTCAAGCAGGTATATATACAATCCCTAGGATGTGGAGTGTTCTCCAAGTATAGGACTCCTTTTTTTTTTGATTTCCTTCCAAGTTTATCCAATTTCCTTCCATGTAAATCATAAGAGATATGGTAGGTGTAGATCTCTATCTTCTCTTTCCTTCTTATATGATTTCCTACAAAATATATCCATAATAAGATCATGTAAATCTAATATATATGTATATAAATCGAATATATAAATATAAATATAAATATATTCGAATATATAAATATAAATATAAATAAAAGAACTTCCCTTTTTATTTCTCATGCTTGCAAGAATATATCTTCACTTATATTAATTTTTGAACTTCATTGCCAAAAATATAACTCTTTCAAATTTGTTTATGAAGTTATTTTGTTTGTGCTTGGTCTGGACATATATTCTGTGTTTCTATTGGGCCCATTGGATTTGCATGTGATGTGTAATTAGTGATTACTATTTGACAAAAAAAAAAAAATAGCAATCACTTTTTTGGTTGACCAAAGTGGTGATAATAATATTATCAATCACTTTCTTGGTTGACAAAAGTTATGATTAGATGCAGTTGGAGAAAGAAAAATGCAGGTGAAATAATAAGGCAACTGTATATATGTATATGTACTCACTAGTTTACTTTTCTTAAATAAATATATGTTGTAGACATAGTAATTAATAAATATATAAGCAGAGTGAGACAGCTCTAATTCCAATAAGAAACATATAGGCCATATGCCCCATTCATAAGTAAATCCTACATTAATGCACTAATGCTCTTAGACATGCATATGTTACATAAATTGTATTTCTTAACATATATTTTTGGGGTAAAATATTTCATATGGATATGAGACTTTCTTTTTCTCAATCATACAAAATACAAAAGCACATATAGTGAAACTTGCAAGCTGCAATTCATTGATGTGCGGTTGTAATTGGTTAGAAGAAAATATATAAATAAAAGTACAAAATCCACAGTATGAATATATATTTTGTTAGAAAAGTGTGATACTTGCCAATATCCAATAATTTTACAATTATAACGATTTAAATTTAAAGTGTTAGATTTTGTATCTCATGTTATATCTTGGATACTAAATATAATATATATTTTTTTTCTATATTTAATATCCCACGTTATTTCAAAAATTTTAATGAAAAATAATTTATCGTTGCTCAACAATTTATTAAATTCAAGAAAATAAATTTATCAATTGAAATTATTAAATGTACTGTACAAAAGGGGGTTTGGTTAGAGAAAAGAGCTTTCTTCTCACTCCGACCGTCTCCCCAATTCCTAAACAGCAAATATTCGCTGTTTTTCAGCATAAAAGGAAAAATAGCAGACAATCACGCACTGTACCTTTCTTCTTTCCTCGCTGTACCTTTCTCTCTCTTGTTGAACTCCAATTACCCAAAAGGTTCAATTTTCCAAATAGTAACGAAAAATTGAAAGGAGAGAGAGAGAGAGAGAGAGAGAGAGAGAGGAGTTTGTTTGCAGGGAAGGAGATCTCCCGCTTGAATCTGTTTCAAATTGATCCAATATGAACGACCTTTTGACTGTGAGTGGTTTTATGGTTAATTTTGGTGTTTGATTGATATTGATCTACTGGGAATATATCGGAAATTGAATTGCGTGTCTTTAGGAGCTGTGGATAATGCAAAAGATCTTGCCTTGGCACTTTTGATATAGTTTTAGCTGTCTTACTCTGAAGAATTATGAGAGGAAAATTTTTTGGGGTTGTTCCCAGACAGAAATTGGGATGAAAAACTTGTTATTGTTGTTTGTCATGTTTTATGGTTTATTTTGATGTTTGATTTTAATCATGACTGATGGTTTATTGTAGTTTCAATCATGCTTTATGGTTTATTGTAGTTTTAATCTTGTTTTATTTTTATTGTAGTTTTAACAAACAAATTGATTTTATGGTTTATTTTGATGTTTGATTGCTATTGATCTACTGGGCAAATGTGGGGAATTCAATGTCGTGCCTTTAGGAGCTGGATGTAATAAAAAAGATCTTGTCTTGGCACAATTGATTAACTTTATTTGTCTTTCCCTGAAGAAATATGAGAGGAAAATTTGTTAGGATTGCTCTCGGACATAAAAATTGGGATGAAAGTTGTTATTGTAGTTTTGATCACGTTTTAGAGTTGCTCCGGATCTTGGTATTTTGGATTTGTACAGAACAAAACCAACAATTAGATAGTTTGCATATCTTTATGATTTTGCGTACGGTTTGGCATTTGTCTAGTCTTGGCGGGTGAGTTTATCCTCAAACTTGAAAGCTTGATTGCATATATTGCAAATTTCATTGAGTCAAGGCTTTGAGTTTTGAAACCTAATGATATTCGGTGATTAAAAAATTATATAGAGGTGGCTCTGACGTGATTTCAATTAGACTCTTTATTGGTATTCAAGACGAAACTATGAGGTCTTAAAGTGTCAGAGTTGTTACAGGTTAGAATTTATGCTGTATGGTTTTTTACTGGAAAATGCTTACTGTTTTGTTTCTCAACATCTTGTCCAATGTACAGGATTCCTTCGTGAGCCCACGTGATGAAGGTAATAGAAATGGTGATATTGAAATGGGAATGGAGAGACAAACGAATTCAGAAGATCTTGGCTTGGAGAATTTCTTTAAGAAGGTGGCTAGCATTACATCCCTCTTATATCTAGAAAAGATTTATTATATTGGACTTTTATTTCGTTCTGTGACAAAAAGATGATGAGTAATGCTTGACTAGCCTTGCCTTCTGTTTTCTAGGTTCAGGAGATTGAGAAGCAATATGAAAAACTGAATATCCTGCTGAGAAAGCTCCAGGTTTGTTTGTGCTTTCATCATTTCTTTGTTCTTTTCATTTTTTTTTCATTCTTCACATTGGTATGCGTGTAGATCATGAGTATGCATGAATTTGTCATTCCGTAACCTGTTTGTCTTTGTATGAGATTCTGAGTTCTATGGATTTGAACAAATTGATGAACTCCTTCTGGAGAAACACCAATTTGGCATTGGAATTTTTGTTGAATCTTCTTTGAACTGTACTATGGATTCTAAATGTTGTACCTCTTTGTTCTTTTAACTCGTATATTTATTTCTTTCTTTGTATTGTAATCTGCCACTTCGTTAAGAAGCATACATACATACAACATTATGTAATTTTTAGTTTTCCTTATTGTGTTAATTAAATATAAGTCCTGTTTATTTTAAAATCTCCAAATTCATGCATTTCGTGTAAAATGATTTTTGTAAGCTTCTCTTTGTCAGCTAATATATTTTTATGAATGAACATGATTTCACAAGATTCTATTTAATGTGTTCTGGTTCTTCATTGTTCATGAAGCTATATAACAATACTATTTAGTTAGGGAAAAGTGTTAATTTCCGTTGAAAATTTGTGAATAATGTTTATCATCTTTCAACTACAGGATGCTCACGAGGAATCAAAGGCCGTGACGAAAGCTGCTAATATGAAAGGTAGATTTTATTTTCATTTTGTTGGTGTTGGTCCATTGAGAAAGAAACAGTCCTTATGGCAAATATTCTTAGATTTGCCTAAGGCGATTTTGTATTAGATTTCACATCTTTCTTTCTTATGCATTCACCTTATTGTTTTCCTTCTTAGTTAATATTTTTTATTGTGTCACTGATGTTTGACATGGATTTTCGGTTATTATAACTTTTTTACCTTTAACCTTGTAACTCTGTAGCAATCAAGAAACGGATGGAGAAGGATGTTGACGAAGTTGGGAAAATTGCCCGTTCTATTAAATCAAAAATTGAAGAACTCGACAAAGAGGTGCAGAAATATGTAGCTTGTCTCAATTGTGATTGGACTTTTCATATTTCTTCTTACTGATATTTATTTGTCGTTTACATTGTTCTAGAATTTGGCCAATAGACAAAAACCTGGGTGCGGAAAAGGATCAGGCGTAGACAGATCAAGAACATCAACAACAGTGTAATTTTACTGCCCCTTTTCTTTGTAATAGCTACTTTCATTTTATAATTACCGGTGTGTTATTCCAGTTTACATTATTATACCAAAGCCGTTGATTGCATGTAATGAGAAAAGAACAGGATATCATATATTTTTTTTAATTTCTTGTGTTCAAATGCAGGGCTCTGAAAAAGAAGTTCAAAGATAGAATGGCTGAATTTCAGGTAGATTAGATTAGCCTCATTTTCCATATGCTGTTTTTAAATTTTCACCTACTTTCACATCCCAATTCATTTTTTTTTATAAATTTTTTTGTAGACTTTGAGAGAGAATATACACCAAGAATATCGTGAAGTTGTAGAAAGACGTGTATTCACAGGTATTAAAGCTTTATTTGGGGAACAGATCATTTATCACTTCTTGCAGCAGCTTTATTTAGAGTAATATTTTTTAAATAATTTTGACGTTATCCTGTTTCATGTGATTTTTCCAGTGACGGGCACTCGAGCTGATGAAGAGGTGAAGCCAATTTCTTTTTAATTATTTTATATATGATCGTGTCACTTTGTATATGTTGTTCATTTACCCGAACCATTTGTGCCCCAGACAATTGATAAATTAATAGAAACCGGGGATAGCGAGCAGATTTTCCAAAAAGCTATTAGAGAACAAGGCCGAGGCCAGGTATTTTTCTATATTTTGTGTGAATCTTTTTTTGGTCATGCACAGTTAAAATATAGCTTATATTGTTTTATGTTTACAGGTAATGGACACCCTAGCAGAAATTCAAGAGCGACACGATGCCGTGAGAGATTTAGAGAAGAAGCTTCTAGATTTGCAACAGGTATTTTTTTTTAACTGATGATTTGATTGATTTTTATTTTCACCTTGTGGGACACCTTAAAAATTAAATTTAACACAGCCTCATCATAGTATAATATTCCAGCAAATTTTTTTGAATTTGCTGAAGTAAAATACTCATCAATTCATCATAGGAATTTTGTTTATTTTTCTTCTTCTCGTGAGCAGATATTCCTGGACATGGCTGTACTGGTGGATGCTCAAGGAGACATGCTCGATAACATTGAGTCGCAGGTAAAAAAGCTTCCAACCTATTTGCATAATTCAATATAATTTTATTTTGTGTTAAATTTTATTTTTTTAATTTTTTTAATTCAATATAACTTTTTAATTTTTACGCAGGTTTCGTCTGCAGTGGACCATGTGCAGTCAGGCAACACTGCACTTCAGAAAGCAAAAAGCCTGCAGAAAAACTCGAGAAAATGGATGTGTATTGCAATCATCATCCTTCTCATTATTGTGGCAATAATCGTGGTTGGTGTGCTCAAGCCATGGCAGAACAAGAACGGGGCTTAGCTCTCTCTCTACCCGAACGTGTAATGTATAATAAAGAAAAAATGAAAATTTACAGAGCAAAAGTTACATGGAAACAAATGATTTCTCATTTCGATGAACTACTACTATTTGAATTGAGGACCGGTTCATTTTTTACTTGTTTGTTTGTTCGGATTAGGGGTTTTTACCCTCAAATGCGTGTTAATTCGTTGACTTTTTTTTTTAACCGGTGAATATGAATTCATCTGGTGGTAGGCTCTCGGCTGAATGCTCGTGGGACGAGTCTCTGTGTGTAAATCTATGGTACTTCAGGATTGATTGATTGATTGATTGAGGTATTTTATGAAAAATATTTCAGAATTTACTTTCTTGGCATCCCTATATAGGTTTTTTTCAATCCTTTGTGGGATGTTTTTCTTCTTCATTTTTCTTTTTATTTTTCTTTTATTTGTTTATTGAGTTCTATTAAAAAAAAATTGAAAATAAACAAGAAAAAGGTGTTGCTTGGAAACTAAGGTGAAGGCATGTTTGGGTTTTTTCTTCTTCTTCTTCTTCTTTTTTTCTCTAACAAAAAAAATCCCAAAACTGGGATAAGTCTCTAATTTCTTTCAATTCAAAATATAATTATTTTCATTATGTATAAATTAAAAGAAAACTAGAGGAAAAAAGGAGGGAAAAAAAAAGAAAAAAAATAAAAATTTAATTATGACATAATTACGTTCTTTTTTTTTTTATTAGACTAAATTCCAGATTTAAATCTCAATATTTGTTTCCTCGTAATTTTTCTAAAAGACAATATTAAAGGTTTTAGATATATGATAAAATAACTGCTAGAATTTACATATTTCTTTACATATTCGCTCATTATGTAAGTGAATAGATGAATAGGTGAAGAATGATTTCGTAAAATATACATCATCTTTTAAATTACTAAATCAAAGAGAATAGATGTATTAAACTATTAATATACATACATAAACTTCTATGCCCACACTATAACCTCTCGTAAAAACACAGCTCATTGTAGGTTTTATAATTAGAGATGTTAAACGGGCTAGTCCTAGCGGACTTCGGGTTAAACGGTCTGGGCTTAAAAAGCCCGGATTTAAACGGGCTACCAAAAAAAGGACCTAACTCTAACCCTAGCGAGCTTCGAACTAAATGGGCTATGGCTATAATAATAATAATAATATAAAAAATAAAAATAAAAAGAGTAAAAAATATAAAAAAAAAATAACAACGGCTAGTTAAAAATTGTTTTCAATGGCTATTTAGTATTTACCGTCTATCACTATGTTTTATGTATTTCGTATTAGTCGTTCTGATTGACTTAAATATTTTGGTATGAAGTACAATAACAATATTGTTAATAATTATCTTTCAAAATCATAATAATCCATTACAACTCGTACTTACATGTGGAATATCAAAATTGTAATATACAAGGAATCTAAGAGCATATTACTTACTTGATGCAAACATTTACACCGCCCAACCCTAGTTAAACGGGCCAGCCCTAGCGGGTTCCGGGCTAGCCCTAGCGGGCTTCGGGCTAACGGTCCGGGCCTAAAGAGCCCTGATTTAAACGGGCTACTAATAAAATGACCTAACCCTCTTTTTTTCCGGGCTAAACGGGCCGGCCCGTCGGGCCAAGGACCATTTAACATCTTTATTTATAATTATATGTTTTTATTAATTATATCATACTTTAAAATACAATATAAATAAATGTATAACTTTTGATAATGTAAATATATATATATATATATATATATATAATAAGAATTACCATTTACCAAAAATATTAGCAAAAAAATAGGTCAGATTAATGTAGCCTATAAATAGTAAGTTTTATTATTTTTCTTTTTTTTTTCTTTAAAAACCATACATCATTAAATGTTACCTTAAATTTCGAGATTAGTCATTTTATTATTTAAAAATCTAGCTAAAATTTATTAAGTGCGTATGTTTTTATTTTTATTTTTTCTTAGAACAACGAACAACATTAAAATCTCGTTCTCTATTTTTATAAAATCTCAATTCAAAATATAACAAAAGTTTTAAAATCTCGTCTTTATATTTGTGCCTTTAAAAAAAATATTGAACACTAACTATTATAAAATCTCAATTCAAAATATAACAAAAGTTTTAGAATCTCGGTCTTTATATTTGTGCCTTTAAAAAAAATATTGAACACTAACTATATTCTTTAAATTTCATAATCAATCAATTAATCTTAATTTTTTAAAAATTACTATGTTTACTTTTTATTAATATGCATAAAGTAAAAATAATTAATTCATCTTTAGATATATAATTTATAATCTTAATATACTATCATTTGGTGTAGACATTTATTATATGAATCATAAAATATTTTTATTTCATAAAATTAAATATATTTAATGAAAATAAGAAAATTTCTTCAAATCAATCGGGTGATTGAATTAGTTTACTACCCAGGTTGATTGAATTACTTTTAGGTGATATTTAAAATAGTAAAAAAAATTGACAAAACTTGGTTGGTCCCAGGTGACTAAGTTATGTATCAGTTCGACCACAACAAATCGATTATTGAACCTAAATATAAATTTTATATTGAAAATATTTTATTACATGAATGTGATGTAGTCCAAACTTTAAATAGTCGTATTAACAATACTTTTATGACAACATGTTTAATGATTTATGAATATTTATATATCATTTTATTAATATTTATGTGAATTAAATAATATTTTATTATAATATTTATTAATGTACAGTAAATATAAGGTTTTCAGAACTGGCCCGTCATCGAAACGATCAAGTTATTTTATTAAATCATTTGTGGTTTGTTCAGATTTTAATTTATAAACATTTTAATATATATATATATATATATATATATATATATAGTACTTTTTGTAATAAATTTAAATAAAATGTGTTACTTAGATGTCTAAACAATTTATAAATTCAAATGTTTAAACTAATTGATAAATAATTTATAAATCTCTATTTTATTTAAATATGTAATTTTATTTAAAATAATTTTAAATATAACGAAATTTATTTAGAAAATCGTATCGACCCTACCAATCCAACCGACCGGTGTTGACGGATTCGAGAGCAAATATTTTATTCAAGTGAACTAGACTGGTTATAAACCGGTTCTCGGTCCATCCGGTCTTTAATTTAAAAACAATGGATAAATCATGATTAATGTTATTTATATATTTAATTTATAATACAATCGTAATATTGTTTTCTCGTGCATCGCACGGGCCACGCACTAGTTTTCATTAATAGACTATAACAGATAGACACATCATGTTTAATCTGGCAACATCCTCCAATATTCCAATATTTAAGGAAATTGAAAATATTTTAATTTTCCAAATATTTTAATATTTTAGGAAACCGAAAATGTTTTAATTTTTCAAAGAATAACGGTACTTTAGGCACCCAATCATTTATATACTTTTAAATTTAAATGTCATATTTTGAAAATAAAATAACTAAATATATAATATTTTATAATAGAAATATGTATTTTTTTTATTATTAAAGTGATCGATGTATGGTCTTTCGCACGAAAACTTATGAAAAAAGGAAAATATGAAAATGTCAAAAACATTTTCTTTGATATACTCGAACCCGAATACCGGAGTACTTGACCCGATCAAAACTTCAACCAAACGTCTCGCTCAAAAAGAACTGAGCTTCCCCACTGAGAAACCGCTGGAGCTCAAAACTCTCCAAGATTTCTTCGCAGCGAGATGAGATCCAACATTGTGTCCGAGGTACTTCAAACATTTTTTCCTCTCAGCTCCGCTCTTCACTTGCATAATATTCACACAACCATCAATGCATACATGTGTATATGCTTGACAATGGTTTTGCCTAGGGTTTTTTTGTGTGAGCCCACATTCATATTTTCTCTTGTTAGTGATGGGATACTTATGCTGTACAGTTACATTTGAGAGAGGAACAAAAAAGATTGAATCATTTAGAGCTATTTATTGGGTCATTTCATTCGTTTGATTTTGGTAACTATGGTATCCTCAAATAATGCAGTTGAGGCCAACTATGGTATCCAGAATGTCGATTATGTAAGGATTGGCATTGGGTTGAACTGTTAATCATTGTTTCTATGCGGTAAAAGGGGTATGATCGGAATTTGACTTTTCGAGTATTGTGCATATGTTTGTATAGGCAGGGTTGCAGACTAGGCTGAAACAATGGTGGGAAGGCATACCTTTTCTCACATCGGCTGTAGTTGTTGTTTGTGGTATCATTTATCTGGTCTGCCTGTTAGCTGGTTATGACTCCTTTACCGAAGTATGCTTCTTGCCATCGGCTGTTGTTTCCCATTTTCAAGGTAATTTGTTTTTTCTCGTCTGGGACATGGATTGTGCTTGCATTATGGATTTTTCATGATTTATATTGAATTTTGATCCAGTACAAACTTCCAAACCTTTTCAACTTTGTATGAACTCAGTGTTTAGAGTTTTTCATGGATACTAGTTTTCTTTTTCGGTAGATCTAGTTTGTTTGAACCTTTGTTCAATTTGTGATGTTACAGCTGATAATTCAATTTATCCTAGAGCAATACATATGCTGGGCTTAGGTTTCTTTCTTACATTTTTGTTCTTTATTTCTGCTCTTTTTAATTTTTTTTTATCTATCCTAGTAGCAGAAAAGTATAGTGGCTTCCTGACAATATTTATATTGTTATTGGTTTGATATGTTGATCAAGGATTCATCTTACCGGTGATAATCGTGTTTGAATCATCTAACCCTTTTTACTTTTTAAGAAAATCTATGCATATTTCTGGCATTAAACGTGATCTTCTTTTTTCCATCTGCAGTTTACAGGATGTACACCGCTATTCTGTTTCATGGCTCTTTACTTCATGTTATGTTTAACATGATGGCAATGGTTCCCATGGGTTCTGAGCTGGAGAGGATTATGGGATCTATACGTTTGCTTTATATAATAATTCTGTTGGCAGCAAGCAATGCCCTATTGCACCTGGTTATTGCGTTATTGGTTGCTCATAATCCTTTTCATCCTGATCAGTTTCTCATGGATCAGTGTTCAATTGGCTTCTCGGGTATCTTATTTTCAATGATCGTGATAGAGACAAGTCTTAGTGGAGTCCAGTCTCGCAGGTTTGTATTGCTGCTGACTTAATAGCATAATTCTGTTTGCAAAGTTACAGTTGCCATTTTTTTTTTCATGAAAGTATTAAGGCACGACTTTATATGCCATGTTATATCGAACGGTGAATGATATGTGTATCTTGAACCTCAAGTAGTGTTTTATGTTAGAGGTGTGTCGAGTAATTACTCTTACAGAGGTTACTTTTGGAATAAATTTAATTTAGGGAACTAAGACTTTTGACTTTCTTAAAGTGAAGATACAAGCTATAAATTTGAATTTAGGGAATTTTATGTTCCTGTTATTTGGTACTGTGTAATACATTTGTAAGTAAGATAACATTATATGAGGCATTTATCATTCTCTCTAATGAATCTGCAGCTTCTTTGGACTTTTTAACGTGCCTGCTCAATGGTCAGTAAGTTCAAATCTTAACTTCACTACCTTCTCTTTTTTATTTGACTTAAATCTTTGTGTATCATGTCCCTTACACCTTTCAGGTATGTTTGGATATTACTAGCTGTGTTTCAGCTCCTGATGACAAATGTCTCATTGCTCGGACACCTATCTGGTATTCTGTCCGGATATGCATGTACGTTAATAAAACTCTTCTCAGATAAATTCCTTTTGTGTCCAATATCTTTTTCTGCTGTTTAAATTAGTGTTAAAATGCTATATATATATCTATTTACGCCAGATATATACGGGTTGTTCAACGTCTTGATACCTGGGACTTCCTTCTATTCATCCATTGAGTCTTCTTCCTGGATGGTAAGTGTCCTTTAAGAGTTGCTATTTGGGTATATAAGTTTCTCTCTTCATTTACACAAACTGTGGTTTAAATTTTACGTTTATTTGTGCATGATGAGTTACGAAATCTCATCTTCTGCTCCAGTTTGTTCATTCGGAGGATGATGAATGACAATTTTTTGTCCACAGATTATTTTTAAAATCAATTCTATTAAAGATTTGAGTGCATTCATTATCTATTCTTCCTTTTTGCAAAATTGCATTTTTTTTAAAAAATTTGACCTGCAATTCTTAAACAAAAGTCATTATTATACATTGGTGCAGTCTACTTGCGTGAGGAGACCTAAATTTATAGTGTGCACTGGGAATCCCTCAGCTCACATCCCCACATATTCCAGTCAAAGCACCACATCAAGGTACATCTTCATTTTAAGTTAGATTTAAATTTTGATTCATCTACATGTCTTTGTGTTATGTGGGTTCGAGTCTGATATTGTTATCTCTCTTTAAAGTGGATTGCTTTCTGGAAACATTTTGGGTAATCTTTCTTCTTGGATGCCACATAGAGAAAGTCCTGCGCAGGTATAACTTCAGACCATTCTTTTTCAGTAGACAAATTTAAAGATAAATAGGAAAACTGCAATCGAGAACTAAAGAGCACTTAAAACGCCTCGTATGATATTACAATAAAGCGAGAGAAGAAGAAGAAAAATGTTGGAGTTAAGCAAATTTAACGATAGTGCTCTTGAAATTCAGACAGCCGAAGAGGATAATAGATTTCCCGGTCAAGGGAGAACACTCGGTTCCAACACTAATCAAGCAGATTCACATGCAAATTCTGATTCGACTTTACAAACAAGACTTTTGGATGATGTTGACAGCCCAATTTTTAATGGAAGGTATAGTCATCGAGTCTTTCATTTTTCTCTAATATGGAAATTCGTGCCAGTACTTACAGCACAAATGCTAATGACAGTTTCTCTGAATATAACATTATGTTTTCTTTCTTCCTTACCTTACTTTTCGTAGTGGAAAAGAACAGTTTATGTAAAGTCGCTCGTAGACTACTGAGTCTACTGTTTTAGTTAATTGTTAGTTTAGGTTGTAAGTTGTAACATAGAAACAATACAAATGTGAGATTTTCAACTTTTTTTTTCGTAACCTTCAGAGTCCAAAGTAGTGTTTGCAAGTATAATGAAGAAAATTAGACAGTATATCTTGTGCATTTTCCAGTGTAATAGCTGTAGTTACATTTCCTTTTTATTTCTGCATTTCAGGCCGGCTGTAGTAAGCAATTCAGTGATACCCACGAGAACACAGAACAACCAGGTTTTAAATATCCGAGAAAAAAATACATCTTTCTGCTTAATTATGCCCTATGATTAGCTTTATTTACTAAATATAAGTTTTACAATCATATTTTGATGTAGGCCTCCGTTGCATCTGAAGGGGAAATTCAGAAACTTGTAGCCATGGGCTTTGATAGGGTAAATATATAAAAAGTTCAAAATTTACATGCGCTAGTAATGCTTACTGGATTTTATTTATTTATTTATTTATTTTTCCCGTATTTGTTCAGACACAGGTAGAAGTAGCAATATCAGCTGCTGATGGTGATTTGAATGTTGCGGTTGAAATACTTATGAGCCAACAGGTATTAATCAACTTAAATCACCACTTTTTCTTTTTCTTTTTTTTACTTTAATTATTTTCTGTACTTGAGTTGTGATACTTCATTATCTGCAGGCCTAGACGACAAAAAATGCTCACCAAGCTAATAACGAAATCCTTTCACGGGAAAAAGAGTGTCTGATTGACGATCGATAAACGTAAGAGGAAGTTGAAAAGTTGCTTTGGAGTTGTATATAAACAACCAACAGTAAAAATACATGTATTTGCAACTCTTTTGTCCCATCAGTTATTTCCATGGGCTGACAATGTAAAGAAATTTCTACCTCTGTTAAGCTGACATAACACATAAGATGACTTCAGTATATGGTGATCCTCTATTGGAGTCTTGGAGATACAATCTTTGTAATTGCAGATTTTTTTTTTTTTTTTTTTTTTTTTTTTTTTTTTTTTTTTTTTTTTTTGGTACAATGAAAGATGCCAGAGGCCTAGACGGTACTACGTAAGAACTCTCCGAGGGTACGACACCCCAAGAATATCGTGATCAAGCCAGGCGCCCATGCCCAGTGGAGTTGAGGATACACGCTGTAAACCAACAAAAGAAGTAGATGCTAAGCTTGCCATATGGTCGGCTGCAAAATTTGCCTCCCTATGTACATGTTGTAATTGAACACACCAATCCCATTGAAGCATACCACGAATGACCAGGACAATAGTTTCATTAGCTCCAAGATTGTCCTCAGACCCAAGTACCATTTGCGTGACACATTGGCTATCAACTTCGACAATCAATCGACAAAATCCCAGGTCCCAGGCTAACTGTAGACCCTGTCGAAGGCCCCAAAGCTCAACTTCCGTTATAGTGCAAATGCCGATATTCATTAGAAATCCACCGAGCCAGCGGCCCATTTCATCGCGAAGAAGGCCACCAGAACTACCCATTCTTGATGTGAGAGTCAAAGCCTCGTCCGTGTTGAGCTTAATCCACCCCGAAGGTGGCGGAGACCAATGGATCATACGAGTAACATGTAGAGCGGCTCCGGCCTTCATGGAGGCTGCCGCCGTGCGGCCATAATCACGGGCTATACGTATAACCTCCATATGTCGCAAATCACAACTAATAGCTCGGTTGTTGAAAACTCGGTCGTTCCTCCATCCCCACGTACGCCAAGTCGTGACCGCAAATAGAGTATTCCAATAATCTACGTGTCCCAGTCGGGACTTCACCAAGTTCCGTAGCAACCAGGGGTGGAGGGGTAGGTGGAAAAATGTCCTAGCCTGGCCCGACAGAAGCAGCTTGGACCATAAACTTTTAGCGGGCGGGCAGTCCCGTAATACATGCAACACGGATTCGCATTCTCCACAAAGCTCGCAGGTCGCCGAGATGGACAGTTTTCGCCGCACCCTCTCCTTGTTGGTTAGTAGGCAACCCTTAGCAGCAAGCCACAGAAATGTTTGGGTTCGTTGTGGTGCCGTCGTACGCCAAATCACTTTCCAGAGCGGCTGATCAGGGTCCGGTTCAGAATTAATTAGAGCTTTATAAGCAGTACCGGTAGAGAACTTACCATCATGGGAGAATCGCCATATGATGTGATCTTCTCCTGCCATCGGGTTTGGAGGAAACGTGCCCGCAATATGCATGATGATATTCGAGGGAAGAAGCCCATGGAGCCAGCCCCACTTCCATCGTCCAAAATCATCAACGAAGTGGGCGACTGGCAAGTGTAGAATCTCATCTGGCGGTTGACGAGTGGCATACCCAGTAAAGGATGGTCTAATCCGAGCCACGGGTCTAGCCAGAATCGGGCTGTGGCGCCATTCCCAATAATCCATCGTACTCCTTTCACAACGACCGGCCAGACCTTGTTGAGAGCACGCATCAAAGCCGATCCACGTCGGCATCAGAGGGCGGCCAACCGGGGAGAAGGGTTGATATCATATTTAGACATCAGAACTCGAACCCAGAAGGAATCCTGTCGTGTCAGAACAGCCCATCCTAATTTCATGAGAAGCGCGAGATTCATGCTACGGGGTTCCTTGATACCCAGACCCCCTTCATCCTTAGTTTTGCAAACATCTTTCCACGCAACCAGATGTATTTTTCTTTTCTCGTCAGAGCTACCCCAAAGGAAAGCCCAACTCCGTTTTTCAAGTCCGTCTGTGATGGCACAAGGAAGCATGGCAGATTGCATGGAATAAAAGGGCAGCGTGCTAATTACAGACTGTGTAAGCGTTACCCTCCCTGCCAGTGAAAGCAATTTCACGCCCCAACCAGCGAGTCTGGACTCCGCTTTTTCCAGAATATGTGAGTACGTATCCGAGATACTCTTCCATGAATGACCGGCATACCGAGGTATTTACCCAGGTTGTCCGTCCATTTGAAGTTTAAGACATCCGCAAGGCAATGCTGTTCCTCTGGATCCACATTATGAGAAAAGAAAACCAGAGTCTTTGCTGAGCTCACTTTGAGGCCTGAAAACCGACAGAAGTGGTCAAGAACCTGCTTAAGGATTAACGCCTGCTCGTCTGAAGCTTCCAAGAAGAGCAAGAGATCATCAGCAAACATCAGAAAAGGGACCGAGATGGCCCGTCTGCCAACAGTAGTGGGGCGCCACGCTAAACCTTCCACCGTCTGGCAGATCAACTGGGCTAACCTCTCCATGCACAACACAAAAAGATAAGGGGAAATGGGGTCCCCCTGACGAACTCCTCGGGATGGCTGGAATGTCTCCCCAACCGTGCCATTCCACAGCAGGTTCATCGTAGCTGAGCTAACACTCGTCATCACGGCCCGAACCAATTTGTTAGGGTATCCAGGCAGCCGTAAAGTTTCCTCAACGAAGTCCCAGCGCAAATAGTCGTAGGCCTTCTCGAGATCGGCCTTCACCACCATGTAGCCCGTCGCACCCTTTTGATATCGCATGGAGTGGATCAATTCTTGGGCAATAGCGATATTCTCCGTGATCTGTCGTCCCATAACAAAGCTAGCTTGGGCCGGGTGGATTAAAAGAGGTAGTGTGCCCTTCATACGATTCACCAATATCTTAGTGAACAGTTTGTAAATCATATTGAGTAAGCTGATGGGCCGGAAGTGTCTAATCGTGGTGGTGTTCTCGACCTTAGGAATCAAAACAATCAGAGTTTGGTTAACCTCACGTGGAACAGCCCCATCATGCCACATTTTGCGAACAAGAGCCTTCACCGAAAGACCCACAGTCGCCCAGTTTTTCTTTCTGAAAGAAAAGAGCATTTAAGCCGTCCATGCCAGGAGCTTTTAATGCCCCCATATTCTGTAGAGCAGACTCAATTTCCTCATCCGAAATATCAGCTTCCGTGCTTGACAACACTGCCTCATCGCAAGCGGGAAAGAGGCTCTTCTTGCATAATGACGTCGTTTAATTCATCGCGCAACTGTTGCTCCAAAACCACCAAACGTTCCTTAAAATAATACTGTCGACTACGTTGTATCCCACCCAGACGGGCCATTAGAGTCTTCTTCCTCTGGAAAATATTGCCGAAATCTTTGAAATTCCACTCCCTCGCTGCCTCCGTGAACTTGGACGCCGCCTCGGCAAAACCCAGAGAGGATTGCAATTAAAATAAAAATAAAAATAAAAATATATCCTACAAAATGTTTTGAGAAAAGAAAATTTGGATATGTTTAAATTATGAGGATATAAGATTAAGTTGCAATGAAAAGTTTTGATGCTATATAAATATAACAAAATAATAAATAATTGATAAGGATTAGTGATCAGAAATATGAAAGCCGATCAAATATATGTTTTGACTTTTTGTATAATATAATAATAATTGACTTTTACTGTTTAATTGTTAGTGAGATTTTTTGTAGTAAATTGAGATGGAATAAACGGTTATAAATGTAAGAGCAGATTAAATATATTTTGTGCTGGAAAATATATAATAATAACTAGCTTGTACTTTTAAAAACATAATAATAATTGACTTTTATTTTTTAATTGTGTCAGTGTGATTGTAGTAAATTGAGATGAAATAAAACTAGTTTACTTTTTCTTTATTCACAACTTCAAGATAATAAATCATGACATAATAAATTACTAACCATACAAAAATTTAATAAAAAAAAAAAATCAATATCTGATGGCAATCTTTCTCCTACTGAATGCCAGCAAGCTTGAAGTTAAAACAACTAATATAATAAAAATATAAATGAAAGTAAAAGGGAAAATTACAAAGATGATAACAAACTTACCCACTGTACCACAAGAAAGGAAAATTCACTCCAACAAAATAATACAACATCACCAGTACCAAGAACCCAAATCAATATGAAAATTGTTAAAAAAAAAAAAAAAAAGCAAATATAATGTGATAGCGTTTCGAATATTCTAATGTCTCGATTGTTTCCCTCCATTGCCATGTCTCTGTTTGTTCAGTAAGAAGACCGGTCGAGCAATATGTGTTCCAGTCAAGGGGACAATAACTGGGTGACTAGGATACAGTGGAGGATAGCTCTGAACTAAACCAGGAAATTGGGAGGGCAAAACCGTAATATTGTAGTTTACGGTTACTCGAGATACTGTCTGAGGACGGAAAACCCCATGTACATTAACATGCGGTCGAAAAATTTGAGTTTGTGCTGCGTGAGGCTGAGGAAGAGGTGGTGGTAGTACCATGATCTGAGCACCACCTTGGGTGAAGGGCATTTGAGTAATTTGAGGTCTGTTCCGAGGGTTTTGATAGTGATTCTCAAGATAGGGGGCTCGAGTTCTTAACTGATGAATAGTCATAGTATGGTGTTGTTGATGAGAAGGCAACGGGCCTGAATTGTGGGTATTATTATTATTCGGGTTGGTTCTTGCGGTTGGGGATGGGCCAACCAATGATTTGGGCAGGTTTTGGTTTGTGTCAAGTGTTGTTGGGCTCTCATTGCCAACTGATGAGTTGGGCTGGTTTTGGTTTGTGTTGAGTGTTGTTGGGCTCTGGTTTTTTTTCATCGCTCGACGGGCTTTTCTTCGGGCCCTCCTCTTTTCGGCCCGGGCTGCTGCTTTCTCAGCTGCAATCTTTGGCTGCTGCACCTGTGGAGAATTAATAGGATGTTTGGGGATAAGAACATAAAAAGCATCCTTGTGACTAAAGCTGTGTACAAACACAAGTTATTTTTAGAAAAACAAAATTAAAAAATGAAGATCGTCTCATGAGATTAATTTGTTGTACAGTGTCACTTCAAACATCGAGCATGAGGAAGCAATTTATTTAAGAGACGAGTATCAACTTCAGGGAATGAAAACTTTTCGTTTCGATTTGATTTTTCATCTTTTTTTGGTGTGTGTAAAGGCATTTTTTCTCTTCAGATCACTTGATTCTCATTACATGTCAGAATCAGAAATCTAAGAGCAAATCACAAAATTGCCAATGAGGTGTATAGCCTAAATATTCACTGCGATTGGTCATTCAATTTTCAGTTTTGTATGTTCAGTCAAGATTTATATCTCATTGAAACAAGACAGAGAAAAGAGGACCACAACAAAAGAAAAAAAAATAATATTCATTTACATTGTTCTCTACAATCTCACTAACACGGTCAAAAAGATGAAAAAGTAATCATTATTATATATTTTTACATCATATAACTTTAATCATAACAATTTTTATCTCATATCCATTCACAATCTCAAATTCATCTCATTTTTATTAAAAAAAAAAAAAAATACTTTTTCCACTTTTTCATCTGCTCATCTCAGACGAGACTAAAACTTTTCAAACAAAAACTAAAAAATAATATCGGATCACACTATGAAGTCCAGTTATCTTCCTGAGTCACAAATTCTCCCTCAAGGTACAAAGAATAACTTCTTGAGCTTCTGCATTTTCTTAACAAGTCTCTCCTTTAATAGATGAAGTTTATGTAAAACGGAAACTAATATATAAATGAGGCATCTGTAATTACGAGACATTACCGGCTTCTTTTGCAAAGACAATAAATGGTATCTTTTGTACAATGGCATCTAAAAATGTCCGCAACTAACCTTTTGGGGGCACTGTTGGCTATAAGGACCACTCGCTGTACACTTATTGCCTAATGCTTTAGGATCAATGGCAGCTGCATCATCTGGCTTCATACACTCCTACAAATAGGTAAAAAAAAGGTAAAACTTTTGCCACAAAAAATTGAAACAAGCAATCAGATTACAAAAATCGAAGGTGTTACTAACCGAACCAAAGTGGCCCAACTGCCCACACTTGTAGCACGAAGCACCTAAAGGTCCTTCAAATTTATCATCTACACAGCAGAGGTGACCAGAATTTCGACAAATGTAACACCTGATAGCCTGTNAACAATTCAATTTAAGAAAGAAACAGTAATTGTGAGGTTTTGAATTTTAAGGAGACAATAAGATTGTGTGGGGACACAACTGAATGTTCCCATGATTTACTAGTTAAAACACAAAAGTAGTCCCTACAAAACAAAACCATTGGTAAATACTCTTAATAACACTCCGTCATTATTTGTTTTAAAGTTTAATTTAGAAAGTACCCTGTCAAAAAAACATAATCAGCCGTCGCAAGATACTAATATTTGGATAAAGAAAGAGTATCTATAGTCACGATCTTTTGAAACTCGTATTTATGTATATTAAGAAAACCTTATAAATGACTATCTAGTTTTTCCCCACCAAAATTAAATATTCATGACTTAAATTATCTACTTTTTTCTATTCCGCTTATTCAAAATATGTCCAGAACAATCATACATCTAGCAAAACTATATCACAACACAAACCATAGGTAAAAGTCCATAGTTGTTTCCTTTTTTTTCCCTACTTTCACAGTATAGCTTTTTGAAGGGAGGATGAAAAAGGAGTTCCTTAATATATTATAAAATGATTCCTCTTGGAGAGGCTGCTATTTCTGTATATATTTTACCGGACATTACTTGACATAAAAAGGACATTTAAATTAGTTACGGCACACACTGACTGCAAATCAATCAAAAGAAAATAGAAAGCTAAACAAAATGTTCACGTGCCTTAAGATCTTCAGAGTCAAAGTTATTGATACATGAGAGCATGTCATGCCCTGTGTTTCCGCATTTTAAACATTGTCGAGAAGTAAAATCCACCGGGTTGTCTTTATTTGGACAGCCCATGATGAGGTGACCCTTTTTTGAGCAAATTAAGCAACTAGTAACCTGCCATATCCATTACGGAAAAAAACAAAAGGAATTTAAAAATTAGCAGCAAACATTTGTTAATAATTTACTTCAGAAGCTTCATCAAGTGAAGTTACAAAAGCATTTAAAAAGGAATTTAAAAAGTTTCCGGAAAATAATATTGCCAATAAGAAAAAGTAGTTAAGTACCACAAAATTTTTACTTGTCATGGAAGCATTAAGTATTTACTTGAAATAAAGTCAAATACGTAGAATAACACCAGTCGTACCGGAAAAGGAAAAGTTATAAAACTGGTCGAGAAAGTAAGAAAAGCCACATGAATTTCCAAAGCATAAAACAGACAAACCTTATGGCAGATGTTCCCATCGTGATTAGTAGCACCGCAAATATAGCACCGTGTCTTTCTTCTTTTCTTGTTAATATTAATGAATGTGTCGTCGTTTTTCATGCTAGCATCAAGTTCTGTTCCCTCCAGAAAATTTGTTTTCTCACAAATACTTGATATTTCTGGATTTAGTCCATCTTTCTGACTATTCTGCATCATGTAAAATTAGAACTTAACATCAAATATGAAAATATGTATATGAAAATATGACAGTGAGATTTGTAGATCATTTGTTTAAAGCATTAGTGCACAATCTCTAATTAACGTGAGGGGCAAAATACAATGTGTATAGCAAACAGAGAGGTACTTCTATCTCGTTTATACGAAAGAACACATGGATTTTTTCTTGGATTATACTAATACTCAACATCNTAATCATCAACCCGTATGAATCAAGATTCTCAAAGAACTTCTGGCTTTAACAATTATACGAATAATTTAAATGAACTCAAGGACCCGCCATAAAACGGGTGTAAGATAATCAACATTCTGATTTTCAAAAAAAGTTGTGAAAAACAACAACCACATAATATCCAACAAAAACAGGACAAAAATATATCTTTTTTCGGGATACACAGTAATAGCGCCAAAATACTAGTAACATTCCTCACTGTACTAAATTTTGAATTTCATCCAAACTTTAAAAGGAAACACATAACTAAACCAAATTACTACACATTTCAAACACACAAGAAAATAAACATGACAACACTCGAAAGCACAATTTTCAGCTTACCATTTCAACTTTTGCAGACAATCCTTGTTCAGTCAATCCTTGTTCAGACTCCACCGACCCTTTATCCTCCTGAAAGTTTCAAGTGGCAAAAGTTACAACAACAAAAGAATCAGTGAAACAGTTACAGGGTTCACTGAGCCAATAATCTGAAAGATAATTGATAAGCAATGACAGATCGAGCATAGATGTCCGAAAGGAAACAATGTAATAGCAAATACTGAAAACCAAGACAAGAATGTATGTCAAAATCCTTCAATAACACAAACTCGAATTCTAAAGACAAGCAACATAAACTGAAGATACCCTAATCCCCAAACTGGAAATTAAAGCAACAGAGCAAAAAAGGTCCCATTTCATGTTTTCTTCAACATTCAAAGCAGAACCCAAAAACAAGAATTAGTTCCAAAATAAAATCAAATTCTCACATAAAGAGATGGGAAAACAAAAAAAACAGCATCTTTCGATTTTGTCCCAACCAAGCGCAATCAATCTAAAATTACAGCTACAAACAATTAAATTATGTTGTTGTACCCTTGTGGTGTGACGTAAGAAACCTGGGAAGTGCCAAACCCGGTCAAAAACTGACCCGGTACTGGAATAGGTCGCGCCTTTACGGACTTTTTCATGCTTTTTCCGGTGCAGGGCATTTCTTTTCTGGCGGCCCTTCATGGTATGTGTTTTCGCCTGTGATTGCATTTGGAGCTGCTAGGATGTCTTTATTGGTTAAGAAGAAAAAAGGGTTTTAAAAAAAAAAAGGGAAAAACAAAATACTGCGGTCAAAGAGCTACTCTTGGTTAAAATTTGTACTTCCAATTGCCTTTGATTCTGTTACCTGTGGTTTGAAAAAATTGAATTTACTGTTGTAGATGTTATGAAATCCACTTTTCAGACCATCACTTATGGAACGATGGAAGGCTGGCTGTCAAAGAGAAGAGACAATGGACGGACAAGGGTTTCTCACCGGCGATGGCAAAGAACGTGTGAGTGAATGAGAGAGAAGGCAAAGGGTCGTAGTGGAGATAGGTTTTGAGGCTTATAAGGGTTTTATGTTTTATTGGGCCTATTTATTGTTAGTTGGGCCTGTTAAAGTATTATGTTACTTTTAAGTCCATTAGTACTTTAATTATCTCATTTTAATTCTGTTTGGGTCTAATTGATTTTGGGTCCCACAAGTTAGTTAATAAGATGTAAAATTCGAGCTAAGAGTGGTAATTTTGATGCTCAATTCTGGTCTCACTCTCTCTATAACTCTCTCTCTCTCATTGTTATCTCATCTTCCCCTTTCTATCATCTTCATCCATAATTTACATATCAAAAAATCCACAAAAATACATAAATTACATGATCCTAACACTTGATATACAGTCAAATTTAAAATCCTTAAATCGAAGATTAAGCCAGTCAAATTGTGCTTGAGGGAGGATTATGGCCATTTGTTGGTCAAATCAATCCTTTAGGGATTTCTCAAGTTTGACGAACTCTTTTTTTGTTATGTATTCATTTCAAATATTTATTAAGATGGTAACGAAAAAAAATCAGTGCATTCGCCTTCTGGGCGGCAGTGCTTTAAGATGTAAAATCAATTGCGATACTTAAATCAAATGAAACCACGTGAATGACAACATCAAGGACTCGAGTAGAGTAACTACTCCCATAAAGGGTGAACAATTTTTTTTTTGGGTGATATGAGAAATTTTGACGGAAAGACACGATTCTTTCCTACGGCAACACACCAATAAATTATGCGATTAAAGTGTGTTGATAACGTGTTGTAAATTGAAACCCTCAATCTTCACCAAGTTTTCTTCGTTCCACATCAAACATATGAAATAAATGTAACACATAAAAAGTGAACAAGATAGAGAGGAGCAGAAAAGTATCTCTAATTCATCAACATTTCATTTCTTTTATAGGGTTTACTTAAGAGGAAAACCTAAAACATAATTTTCCTAGCTAATGGGCTTCATACCCAATAGTATTTTAGTAACGTCTATACATTAACATATTTATAACATTTGATGTCTTTCCGAATTTGGATGGATTATATCCATATATATGTATATCTATATCTATATAAAAGGATTTGACATATATCTATATATATAAAAAGAATAAACATTTAACAAAAATAGTAGTCATAAAAACCGTCAACATTAATTGCAATTCATTAATATTAACTTTTTTTTATTAATAAAATCCATCAGCATTAAATGTTGCCATAAATTGCGGGTTTTAGTTCATTTTAGGATTCCAAATCTCGACTGAGATTTTGAAAATATGGTATCCATATTGAATTCAAATGTTTTGTTCCGTGACCATAAACTAATTTACGTTTCATTTTCCTATATTACCATATATTATATTTTCTTTTCATATTTAATTGATAAATCAATTATTATTAATGTGTTTTCTTCTTATTTTTTAAAATTTTATAACTTTTTTTATTTGTATTTTATTTTTCACATATAATATATTAAATTAATTATCTTTTAACGATCTTCAATTTGACATCCATATTATATATATAAAATACAAAACATTGATCCTTATAAAGAAAAATTAAATTTATATATAAAATAAATTAAAAAAATATCAAATAAAACTCTAAATTATCTTATAAAGTAATATTTAATTTATGTATAATAACATAACATAGAATAGTTATTTTATTTAAAAAGAATATGTAAACTAACTACGAACATCAAATTAATATAACAAAATATTTTATGGTTTATGTCACCACTAAACAAAGACTACAAAGAGAGTGAACATTGTAATGATCTTGAAAAAAAACATTATAAATAGAATAAAAAAAATAAATTTTATTTAATATAGTTTAATCCCATAATCATTATATTTTTAATTAGTTGAATATTATAAAGTTGAAGATATCTTAAAAAAATATTAGAAGAAGGAAGAAAATTACATAAATATGAAATATAATTACAATATAATACTACTTGAAAGAATAAAATTAATTCAAAATTAAATTATTGACTTGTAAATAACACACACATATGTATATATATATATGTGTGTGTGTGTTTGAAAAAATATCATTTTGACAAATCGTGTATAAACATGGGTATTATTTTAATCAATTTTATTATTTTATAATTATTAGTTTTATTCTCCACTTCTTTATTTTGATAAAAATATTAAATTTCAAGCACCCATGTTGTTTACTGGCGTTATACTAATTGGCGAATAAATAAATTATTTAATCTTAACAAAAAGAATAAATATTAAAAAAAACAAATAATACTTTATAAAAATAATTTTTAGAATTCAAAATAATATTTAAAAAATTACTTTTTTATTAATTATTCATAATTTTTTATTTTACAATAAAAATTTTAATTTTTTTTCACTTTTTGTTGGACAATAAGTTTTTATGAAACACCCGTATAGTTCACGGACGTTATACTAGTTAATGCCATATTACATTATGGCCATGCGTAATTAGTATATCCTTACCTTGCACTTTAGGGTTATTTATATAAAAAAAAAAATGAATAATTTGACTATAAAAATTAAATTTGGAAAAATAGATTTTAGTAATAATGATATCTCCTAATTTTGGGAAGTACTACTACAATTGTGACCCGAATTTTGGCTTGAAAATTATTTTTCAAAATTTTCATATTAAGTAAACATTATTTTTTGCGGGTAAACCATAGTATTTATAGTAAATATAAGCCTTTTTTAATATATATCGATACTTTACTAAAATGCATAATTCTAATTTGTAAATAAGTAATGCTAAAGTTAGTGTGTCAAAATTTTAAACCGACATGCAATTTAGATATAATATAATGTATATTATGTTAAAGTTATAAAATATAATAATTTTTAATTATGTCAAAATTATTTTATTTTTATTTTGTTATTTTATATTAATGTATTATAATTAATTTGAATCTTCTTTTTAATCTAACAATTCATATGACACTTCAATACTAATTGATTTATCTTTATAATTTATAATAATATATATTATAAACACTTATTTATAAGTTTACAATTTATATCGTTGTTCGACAAATGAATGATGGTTTATCATTATAATTTATAGTAAATATTTTATTTTTTATTTTTAATTTAATAACTTATTAGGTAGATGAGGGTAATAATGGAAAAATATGTACAAAAGATCCAAAACGTCATTTATTTAGTTAATTGTTAATAAAGCCAAAATGACATTTAAAAAAATAGGAGGCAGTATGTTATAATTTTTTTTTTTTTTGTTTATCATAATTTATAATAACATATATTCTAAATATTCTAATTAAATTTATAACTAGTACGTACCACGTGCGATGCACAGGACAGAGATATTAAATGAGTTATTTTTATAGCCTTGTTTGTTTAAGTCTAAAAAATAATAGGGTCATTATCTATTTTTTACCTCTTTTAATCAACATTAAGTCTAAAAAGCAATAGGACGTTATTATAAGTTTTTTCCACATCTTTTAACCAACGTTGTTTTTTTAGCTAGAACATTAAATATGTTAGGACTAGCTTGTAAAATAATTAATATATGATCTCACTAAAACATTTATACTAATAAAAATTTAATTTTAGCATATAAATTTATCCATTGATATAAGAGAAAGTAACAGTTTTACTTATTGTTGTTCACCATATAATATTTAATTATTATTTTATTATATAATAAAAAAGAATACTGTTAAATAGTGTAGTAGAATTGTTATAAAATTATATGAATTATTTTTTTTTACAATATGGATTTAATATCTTTTTATCATTTGATAATATAACTATAATATATTCTTAATGATATAATAATATGAGGTACGGATTTACATAATACTATGGATTTATTCCTTAATGTTAAGATATTGAATTAGGTAATATATGATTCACTAATCTGTAATCTGTCTCTTTTTATATTGAAAATAATCATGTGATTAAGTAGAGATAACAATTATATATAAATTCTTTCATTTAAGAAATAATTTTTAAATTGGTCCATGTGTAAATGACTAATTTTTCGATATCTACTCATTTACATTAAGTATATAAAATCCTTAAAATCATATTTTAAATTAGGCAAGTATTATGTGAATCCAAATCCTTGTTACATTAAGTGTAAATGACTTTATTATCTGCTAATTCATTAAGTATATTCTTTAAGCCAAATTCTTGTTACATTAAAATCCTGCTTATTTGGTATATTAATCGGACAATAACCTAATATTGTAGCAATAGGTTTAAGTAACTTATTAGGTTGAAATGAGACATTTTAATATTGTAGAAATAGGCTTACTTATTAGGTTTATGTTTTTTATAATATTTGTAAAAGTTTACTTATTAGGTTTACAATGAAGTTGACTTTTAATTAAATAATTAAGTAAACAAATAAAAGTTCACTTTTATTTAAATAATAAATAAACAAATAAACAAAATAATTAAATAATTAAATAATCAGATAAGATTTGTATGGGATATAAACCAAATAAACAAAATAATTAAATAAAATATTATAATACCAAAATAGTAATAACATTAAATGCAGTTGACTTTTCTGTATACTATATTTATAGAAAATAAGATCCCTTTTATATAAATATAAATATAGATATAGATAAATAATAATTGACTTGGAGTTAAACCATATTGCTATTTTGAATGCCCATGTTTGCAGCTATTCATCTGTGTTGCATTGATCGAGCAGCCACAGTCTACGCAGCCATGTCGATGGTGACGCCTCAGCCGTTGGATGCAAGTCCACCCTCTACCTTCTCTCATTTCTCCTTTAGGTAGTGTTTGGTTGGGAGGTTTTGGAGGGGAGGGGAGGGGAGAGGGGAGAGGGGAGAAAATTTTACATTTCACTTGTTTGGTTCATTTTTTCAAGGGGAAAAGGAAGGAAAATTTTAAGTAAGAATCCCTCCAAATAGTGAATATGGTTCCCCTCCAAAATTGGAAGAATTTGGAGGGGAAGGAAAGTGCAAAGAGGTGAAATTATTTTTTAGTCCTTAATAATAAGTTTATTTTATTGTTTTATCTCTTATATCATTAAAGGCAAAATAGTCAATTCAACATTATTTTCCCTTCTCTTTCATTTTCTAACCAAACAAGGTTTATCATTTTCCTTCACCTCCTTCCTACAAAATCTCTCCAAACATACATCCCCTCCCCTCCCCTTCCCTCCCTTCCATTAAAATCCCTCCCCTCCCTTTCCCTTTATTGAACCAAACATACCCTTATGCTCGTCTCGCTATTTAGTTTGCTCTTGTTTTTTTCTGTAGAATTCGGTCGTGTGTGATTGTGTATGGACGCCAATAATCGTCCGTTTTAGGTTTCTAGTTTTATGTGGAGGATTTGCTGTCTGTGTGCGAGTGTGAGTGTGTGTGTGTGTGTGTGTGAGGCGAACACTTGGATCGACTAGGGTTTTGCGCTGGTGGTGGGGGAGGTTTACGTTGATTTATTGATTGATTCTAATGTTTTTGTTGATTTAACGCGAATTTACGAATATGAGGCTGTGAAATCGTGGAAGAAGTGCTGCTGCTTACTTGATTAAGTCTCTACCTAACTAGCATTTTCGTTTTTCGGCTCATGAAATTGCAGCAACCAGAAGACAAGGAGATGCTGGTGCCGCAATCGGATTTAGTTGAAGGTCCCCAGCCTTTGATTGAAGGCCCTCAGCCTATGGAAGGCGAGTCGCTGTTTTTCACGTCACTGCTCGAGTTCTTGTGGTCATATAGTAGAGGGATGCATGCATGTGTGATGTACTGTTGCTCTCTTAAAATTATTGGATGCATTTGGCCCATGATTGTGGATATTCAGTTTCTTTACAGTTTTGTTGATGTGATTGGTTTTTTCTATCTTTATTCGTTCATTCTTTTTTTTCTTCTTTTTTTTTTTCAAAATTTCTCAAGGTTTTCCAATGCATATAATGCTTTGTAGTTTTTTCAAATGTGTACCGGCAACAGCCGACAATGCTGGAGCTGTGGATAATCAGGCTAATGAAGACCCACAACCGTCATGCTATGTTTGGACTATTGTGAATTTTTCTAGATTGAATACAAAGGAGCATTATTCAGATGTCTTCGTTGTTGGGGGTTATAAATGGTAATCCAGAACTGTGAATTCACCTTTTAGTTTATATTTTTCGGGGGCGTGCGCGTTAGGTAGTCACGTCGCAACTAATCTTATGAATTTATTTCTTGCTTTCTTATGATTATGGGAGCTGACAAAATTGTCTCCGTTGACTTTTTTGACTTGTTATTTATTATTCCAGGCGGGTGCTTATTTTTCCGAAAGGAAATAATGTGGACCACTTGTCGATGTATTTAGATGTGGCTGATTCAGCTACCTTGCCATATGGATGGAATAGATTTGCACAGTTCAGCTTGGCTGTCGTTAATCAAGTCTATACCAATTATTCAATTAAAAAGGGTATGACCTTTAATTACACCTGTTTCTACGTTCCGATTTCTTTTGAATAGCTAAATATTGTTTATATGCATACAGAAGTTCAGGGACTAACACAACACAATATGCATGTATATGTGTACGTGATCGTGATGTGTGAGGGTTTGTGAGTATTAAAACTTCAGTTGAACATGACTTTTAGTTTTGTAGTTGGATGCTACTTTATTAACTCCTGACCCTCTTTACAAAAGGAAAAATGAAAATTTATGGACTCTTCTCTAAAAAGGCGATCTATAAGTCTACGACTTGGAATTTTGATTATTAGATGTTTTGTTCCGTTGACTTGGTTAATTCTTTTTGGATGATTTATTTGGTTATGAGATATGGAACATATAATTGTCCATTATATTCACATATAATCAAAGCATTTGCAGCTTGAGTTACGATTAAATTGTGGTCTGTCAACATTCTTTCTGCATTCAGACACACAGCACCAGTTCGATCGAAGGGAGAGCGAATGGGGTTTCACATCTTTCATGCCTCTTAGTGAGCTGTATGACCCCAACAAGGGATACCTTGTGAATGATACTTGTATTGTCGAAGCTCATGTTGCTGTACCCATTGCCATGGACTACTGGACCTATGATTCAAAGAAGGAGACTGGTTATGTTGGACTTAAGAATCAGGGGGCAACGTGTTACATGAACTCACTGCTCCAGACTTTGTACCATATTCCCTACTTCCGGAAGGTTACCTTATTCTTTTATGACGTATCCTTTTCTGCTTTTTTATTTTGCTAATATTATATTAGCTCAAAATGAGAGAAGTGTGAAGAAGAGTTGTCGTAAAAATGTTTTATCAGGCTGTGTATCATATGCCAACAACAGAGAATGACAACCCTACCAGGAGTATCCCTTTGGCTTTGCAAAGTCTGTTTTATAAGCTCCAATATAATGACACCACTGTGTCTACGAAAGAGCTGACTAAGTCATTTCGGTGGGACACAATCGATTCATTTATGAAACATGATGTGCAAGAAGTTAATAGAGTTCTATGTGAAAAGCTTGAAGACAAGATGAAGGTACTGGTGTCTGACTTCCTTCATTGATTGTTCCTTTTGTCTTATCTTAATAAAGTTACTTATTGTGCAATTACTGTTATGCTTGGCAGGGAACTGTTGTTGAGGGGACTATTCAAAAGTTGTTTGAAGGCCATCATATGAATTACATTGAATGTTTTAATGTGGACTTCAAATCTACAAGAAAAGAGTCATTTTATGGTACTGGTTCTTTTCGAGGGCAGACCTTTACTTCTTATAGCCAGCAGATTTGTTTGATGCTTTTCTTTGTAGCAGACCTTCAACTTGATGTTAAAGGATGCAAGGATGTCTATGCTTCATTTGACAAGTATGTGGAAGTAGAACGCCTACAAGGAGACAATAAATACCATGCTGAGGATCATGGTTTACAGGTATCTTATATCCTTCTTCACATAGTTCATAGTTGTGTCTTTCATCTGGATGTTAATAACGACCACGATAATTGTAAGCTGCATGCTATTCTAGCACTGTTCATAAAAGTTGGCATTTTGACAAATGGAAAACTGAAGGCTTCTGAAAAGAGTACTAGGGGGATGAGTGTTAGAGCAGTCTGAGTGAGAAGAGTTCCAACAGTTTGTTAGTATAAGACAATGTAATTCTTAAGAGCACACATGCATCCTATCCAATGCTTAAGGTTTTGCGATCTCTAAAGCGATAAGCTGTCTCAGCCATTAGGGTTTGTCTTTATGCCTTAGTGTTTGACGTTATATTGTATAAGTCTAGTAGACGTCTCTTGATTCAACAAGCCAGTTATGTTTATAGTTTATACCGCAGGACTTGAGTTAGATTTTTGAGACATCTGAAAATGTTCACTTTGTTATAACTTATAAAATCAAGCTTTTTCTTCGTTATACCCTGTTGCTCATTGGATGGCTGTTGTGCCATCTACTATGAATTTTGTGTTGGGTAGTCATGAAAAGCTCACATTAGAAAATGCTGCAGTTGTGTGTTTGTACCCATGATATAACAATACAATCGTTTTTAAACTTTCTAGATATATTATGTTTATGAACATTGATGGTTGTAATTAAGTTTTCATTACCATTATTAGTTACCATGCGCAGGAGTAACAGAGCATTTGTGGCCGATTAATAATGAAATAGTTGGGCTTAATTTAATTATTCTGATACGTAAAGGACTGGATGCCACCCAAATTGTGTCTTTTTGTTGTTTGAATATTGTCTCTGGACTGATCGTTTTTAATATGGGGCACACCTGTTTTGACAAATAAACGTCATCAGGTCAAGAACTTTCAAGATAGGGGAAGGTTGATTGTTTTAAACTCCATGTAGTTATAGTTTAATTTCCTGTGCGTTTTTATCATTCTTGGTGCAGTTTCTGTTCTAATTAATCTAGTAATATTTTTCTCAGTGAGTTTCTGTTTACTGAAAATTTGCCTGAATTGTGTTTTTGAAATTTAGGATGCTAAGAAGGGTGTGTTGTTCATTGATTTTCCTCCAGTTCTTCAGCTTCAATTAAAGCGATTTGAGTATGATTTTATGAGAGGTACAATGGTTAAGGTTAGTAGCCTAGACTGTAAGTACTTTGTAATTCTTGTTAGATTTTTTAATATGTGCTTCCACAGGATTCAAAATATTTTAAATACCTCCTTTTTGTCCCTCCTAATGGCATCCCAAGAGGATTGATGCTGAATCTGTCCAGAATGTCCTTTATCTAATAATTTCTAATTTCTTGGCAGGGCCCTGGTTCATTCTTGTGCGCTATTAATGTTTGCCATAATTTGATGATATCCAGATGTTGCTCTATCCACTTTCATTTTATATATTTTATAATCTATTTATTCTCAATAGATTGGACATCTTTGCCTCTTATCAATATTTTTCCAGAAGGGCCAGAAGCTAGCTTCAAATCAACTGAATACTTATATTTCTCCAAGTTTTGTCTGTCCATGTTTGAGTGTTTGGATGGAGGCATATGCTAGAAAACATCTAGGGTCAGTTTGGTTAGAATAATGGATTGGGCCTGATATAATCTTTTGGATTGTTTCAAAGGCTATCCATTCATTTAATTAGCCCAATAACTTGTTTGGTTTAGAGTTAGAAATTATATCCTTTAATTTGAAGTTACTTTTCCACCCTTAATTTGAAATTGAATTTTCATTTCATCCCCTTCATTCATCTCTTGGTAGCAAAAACGAGTATTCTCCAGCCCTTTTCAGGCTCAATTCCTAACAACCCAATCCCCAAATTAGTCGAACAAATTGAGAAAATCAGAGCTCGGGAAAACGAAAATGGCGGATTCTAACACATACGATTTCTTCAAGCTAAACTCCAGCCCTTTTCAGGCTCCATTCCTAACAACCCAATCCCCAAATTAGTCGAACAAATTAAGAAAATCAGAGCTCGGGAAAACGAAAATGGCGGATTCCAATACATACGATTTCTTCAAGCTAAACGCTCAACGTCTGAAACCCAACCTGTCGAGCAACTCGTCACCTTCCATCGACTCTCGGTTGTTCTGCACCTCGCAGGCCCTCGGCGGCTAGTAGAACGCGCACCAGGAGATTGCTCACGGCCGCCGCCGGATTCCCTCGCCATAGGTCTGCACAGCCTTCGAGTCGACGGGCCGATTAATTTGGCCAATCTGAAATTAAGCTTTCACCAGCATGTAGAAGCTTAATTGAAGAGAAAAGCATAATTTCTACCAGATTCGAAGGTGCTGTTGCTTAACGAAGAAGATGAAGGGACGGTGTTGTTGCTTTACGAATAAGAAGAAGAAGGAAAGGGGATTAGGGTTCTTGCTCTTGGTGCGCCCAACACAATTTCACGAAAGAAAGGAAGAAGAAATAAGGTTATCTTTGTAAATTTGAATAAAAAATAGGGTAAGATAACACATCCCCCCTCATTAGTGGGATACACAATACTGAAAGTTGGTAATAACTCACCGGGCCCTTTCATTTTAACGGGCTTGGACAGTCCGAACCAAACATCTTTATAGGCTTGAAATAATAACAATAGGCATGATATCAAGCCCAATCCGGCCAACCAAACGGACCCCTAGTGTTTATGAAACAGTGGATATTGGTTATTTGATTTATATGTTTATTGATGCAGATAAATGATCACTATGAGTTTCCATTGGAACTTGACCTTGATAGAGATAATGGGAAGTATTTGTCACCAGAAGCAGATAGGAGTGTACGAAACCTTTACATGCTTCACAGGTTGTTATGCCTTATATTTGTGTACATAGTACATACTATTTTGTTTCGGGTCTGTGATTAGCAAGTACGTCTATAGGTGATTCATAGGTATGCTGCAGCAACTTGGGTGTGGGAAACATCATTTTCCTCAAAATTGTTGCTTGGCCTGCTTGATTTTTCTCTTGTTCTTTTGGTTGCAACAGTGTTTTGGTTCATAGTGATGGGGTGCATGGTGGATATTATTATGCTTTTATCAGGCCAACACTCACTGATCAATGGTAGGTGCCATACTCCTCAAGGTTGTCCTTTCTTCGTCTTGCTTATCACTTATATTTGTGAGTTCCGAAGTACAGAACGTTCATGATCCAATGGCTTGCTTAGTCTTGATTGCTGGATGAGTTCAATTACATCTTTCAGTGTTTTGATGATTCACTTTTCAGGTACCAATTTGATGATGACAGGGTCACTAAAGAAGATGTAAAAAGAGCACTAGAAGAGCAGTATGGCGGTAAAGAGGAGGTGATAACCTTGTCCAACTTTTTCCTCTTGTACCAGTGAGGCTTCCCCCCTCCTTTTTGGCTTATTTCCACTATCCACAGTTGTCGCAGGCGAATCCCGGCTACAACAACAATCCGTTCGAATTTATGAAGTACTCTAATGCTTACATGCTTGTGTATATACGAATGAGTGACAAGGACAAAATAATCTGTGAGGTGGATGAGAAGGACATTGCAGAGCACCTTAGGGTAATTATTCCATTCATGCATCTATAAATTCATTAAAGAGTTAACATATTTGGAATGTTTTGTCATATGGTAACATCTCTTGTCCCTTTTACCCCAGATGAGACTGAAAAAGGAACAGGAAGAGAAGGAAGATAAGAGAAGATACAAAGCACAGGCCCATCTCTACACTATTATCAAGGTTATTATTCTTAATTAGAATTCTCAGACATTTGATCTCCCCGTTTCTTGATATGGATTGCTGAAGCAATTTATTGGCATTACAGGTTGCTCGTGATGAAGATTTGAAGGAACAGATTGGAAAGGATATATATTTTGATCTAGTTGATCATGATAAAGTCCGTAACTTCCGAATCCAAACACAGACGCCTTTTAACCATTTCAAGGTTTTGACTTTTGACTTTTCTTATGAATTATTGTTTATTCCGATCAAGTTAAGGGCATGCGATAAGAAATTACTAATAGAACTTTACTCCTAGTCCTAGCCATAAGAGCTCCCCCGCTTAATAAAAGCTGTTACACTCTGTTTTGTAAGAAATATTCAGTTAGTATTTCCAGTTAAACAAGGATCGATCATTGTAAGATACGATCAGTTGTCTCCCAGAATTTGGTTAGCTACCTCTTGGAAAGAACAAGGTAGCTATCTAACCAATTGTGAGAATATATAGTTGCAATACAATATACATTCACTATCTAATTATTCTTTGTAAAATTATCTAATTGATTGCGTTAATAAACACTTATGAGATCAATATAAGGTAAATATTAGAGAAGGTATTGAAATCTACTGCATATTATTCTGAACCAGTCTAACGCCCTTGTGTGCTGCCTTGGATAAAAATATTTTCTAAAAGAATATCTGCAATAGTTATAAATATAAAATTTATCAAATGCATAAAGTTCCTTAAAAGAAAAATCAAAATTGGCATTTTCCCTACTCGAATCACTGAGTATCAAATTTTCAACATTTTATTGTCATTTATTTGAAGCATGGAAAGTTTAATTATGATGAATCTTCCTAGTTTCAAGTGCACATTTAGTATGACATTCTTACTGAGATCCATGTTTATGAAGGAAGAGGTTGCCAAAGAATTCGGGATTCCTGTCCAATACCAGCGCTTCTGGATATGGGCAAAAGGACGGAACCATACATACCGTCCAAACCGTCCTTTGACTCTGGAGGAGGAAGCACAAATGGTAACTATATCTGACATTTTACGTCAAATTTCCTTTAGAGAAAGGGAATATGCTTTCTGGTCGTTCTCTCCAGGGAAATTTGATTTATATTGTAGTTTAAAGTGTTAAGGATACACACTTGCAATTGACTATTGGTGATGAGAATGTGTGAGAGATTCGACGTGAATCTATTCTAAACTGGACAGTGTATTAATTTTAACTTGATTCATTTAAGCATATTTTCTTTTATCAAACTGATTTAAGAGGTATCATTTTTTTTTTTTTAATTTATAATTTTATATACATAGTAGTTATATCTTCAAAAAGAATGGATGCTAAGCTGCTTTCAAACAGAGCTCGGCTATAACAATAGGTCTTTTGATGTTTTTTGTCTTTGGGTTGATTCCATCTTGCTGTGTTTTGTTTAATTTGTTACCTTGCTTCATCAATTTCTGATATGTTTTGCAGGCTTTGATTAAGATTTTCTTTCATTGGTTCTTTAGTACATGGTTTCAGTCCCATACCTATTTTGTGCAGGTTGGAGCATTGAGGAAACTTTCCAATAAGGCCCACAACGCAGAGCTGAAGTTGTTCTTGGAAGTTGAGCATGGACAGGTTTCTCCTACCTCCACTGTGGACTTCTTTTCTTCTCTTTAGGCAGCAAGCAAGATTTTAAATGTGAATAATGTGAAATTTTTATTGTTCCTTTATAATCGGATAATCCATATTTTTGTTTGTTGAATTTATAGGATTTACTTCCAGTTTGTCCTCCAGAAAAAACTAAGGAAGATATGCTGCTGTTTTTTAAGCTTTATGATCCAATTAAAGAAGAGCTCAGGTGTCTTTTCTTTCCTTAGACCATACATTATTTAATTTTGTACCTCTGCATGTCTTCTAATCATTCGTTTTTATTTCCCATATCGAGGTACGTTGGGAAGCTTTTGGTGAAAAGTTATGACAAGCCGATTGAGATCCTCGCAAACCTGAATGAATTAGCAGGATTTGCTCCTGATGAAGAGATTGAACTCTTTGAGGTATAGCTGGTCATAACATTTCAGTACACATTTAGCATATACTAACCATAGTAGGCTTCATGCCTTGCTTTCTCTTGTTTTATGCACTGGGCACTCTATCATATGCAGTTGTATGTTCCAAAAATCTACAGGAAATAAAATTTGAGCCACGTCTTATGTGTGTATCCCTTGATAAAGGATCTTCATTTAGATTAAACGAGGTACTTATGTGCTTATAAAAGCACATTTTAATAATCTTAATGAGTTTCACTTATGTTTTCAGATTCTTACCGTCTCTTTCTCTGTATGTCTGCTAGATTGAAGATGGGGACATTATTTGGTTCCAGAAACAGCTTTCACCTGAAAGTGAGATGCAATTCCGATTCCCAGACGTGCCTTTTTTTATGCATTATGTGAAAAATCGCCAGGTCAGTATTTGATAAAAGAAAAACCAAAATTTTGAAGTTGCAAATGTCCATCTTTCTAGAACATCCACCCAGTTATCTCAGTTTTTTCTTTAACTCTCATAGCAGTCTCTCGACTGTTCTAGGCTATCTGTTGGTTGATGTATATAATACTATTTGTCTTACGTTATGTTGGCCTTTTTTACGTTATGATTGAGTGTTTCTTGTCCTTCCATCTGTTAAGAATTTACATCTTATTTTGTGCAACTTCGTGTAGGTAGAAAGCTTGTCTCCTTCATAGGAGAACACTTCCCCATGAAGCTATTATTCTGCAATATTATATTCTTTCTTTTTAAATTGCTTTCCATGCATGTTTTATCTTTCACAGGTAGTGCATTTCCGAGCTTTGGAGAAGCCCAAGGAAGATGAGTTCTGCCTAGAGTTGTGAGTACTCTCTAATATCACTGTTATTATGTCTCTGAGCATGCAGTTTATTTATTCATATTGTAGGCAGTTTTCAAGTAAAATTAGTTGGACTAACTTCTGCATCTTCTGCAGAGCAAAGGTTGACTCGTATGATAATGTTGTGGAAAGAGTTGCTCAGCACCTTGGCTTGCGTGACCCACCTAAAATCCGGCTTACTCCTCATAATTGCTATTCTCAGCAACCAAAGCCAAATCCTATCAAATACAGAGCAGTTGATCAATTGTTAGACATGCTTGTCCACTATAATCAGGTGGTGGCATAAGTTGTTACATCTTGTCCTTTTCCTCCCTTTCTAGGGATTAGACTTATGATATGCCTGATAAACAAAAGATAACTTGTTTTTTTTATAATAGATTTCGGATATACTTTATTATGAGGTGCTCGACATTCCTCTGCCAAAATTGCAGCGCCTGAAAACACTGAAAATTGCCTTCTATCATGCCACAAAGGATGAGGTGCCAATATTATAATGCGCTACCCTTGCATCGAGTTATATGAAATCATTGATCAGTGTTATGCCATTTTCAGATTATAATCCTCAATTTTAGATTACCCAAGCTAAGCACTGTTGGGGATGTTCTGAATGAAATTAAAACGAAGGTTAGCTTGTTGCTTTTTAGAAAATTATATTACTATTAGTGTGAATAGGTACATTTACTGTTTCTTGATAATTGATGTGACTTTCTTGTTCTGAAGTGGTGTGTCTCCCAGTAAAGTGATTCCTTCCCCTGGAATGTTTATTTTATTTTGTTCTTTTTCTAGACATTGTTGAGCAAGTTACCCTGTCTTTTACTTAAGAAAGAGACAAGAAAGAAGAAGTTGTCTCACATTTATTACATCCAATGATAGGTTGAGTTGTCTCATCCAAATGCTGAACTTAGGTTGCTTGAAGTTTTCTATCACAAGATTTATAAGGTAATGTTATCTACTCTGGAAATTAAGCGATGCTTGATTTGTTAGCAACTGTTACTTGATTTAGTTTGATCTTTGAATGTCCAATGTAGACACGTGATTCAGACTATATTTTTGTACTTAAATCATTTGTCTGGATTTGTGTTAGAACTGGATGCTGATAATTTGATGCTAATCTAGTTACCAACTCTCTTTACACGGTTTTTAAGAACCTTGTCTGGAGTATCTCTCTGAAATTAGGGCTAGGAGTAGTGATTCCATGCATTAAGAGATACTCTGCTTTCTGAAAATTTTCAGATCTTTCCTCTCCACGAGAAGATCGAAAACATAAATGACCAATATTGGACTCTGCGTGCTGAAGAGGTGAGCCTGCTTCTACAAAAAGTTCCGTATTGTATCAACTGCTTTTAGAAAGTTTTCTATTGCTTCAAGGTCAATGTTTTTTTATGCCACTCGTTTTTGCTCTAACTCAGATTCCAGAAGAAGAAAAAAACTTGGGCTCAAATGATTGCCTGATTCATGTGTACCATTTTACAAAGGATAGTGCACAGAATCAAGTGGTATTTCATCATTCATCTTTTTCATATATGCATGTGTTTTTGTGCATGCTTGTTTATTTATTTATTTTCTTTATTATAATAATTATTATGAGTCCTAAACAGCAAATCCAGAATTTTGGGGAGCCATTCTTTTTGGTACTCCATGAAGGCGAAACATTAGCCGAGGTTAAAGCACGGATTCAGAAGAAATTGCAAGTTTCAGATGACGAGTTTTCAAAGGTATACTAGTACATCAAATACTTTTCACTCACCAAAAAACTATCGCTGGTTAGTAATTAGGTCTACAGCAACTCTAGTTTATTTGATACTTCTTTTTCTATTAACACTCAGTGGAAGTTTGCCTTTTTGTCTTTGGGACGTCCGGAGTATCTCGAGGATTCTGATGTTGTCTCCAGTCGTTTCCAGGTCAAGTGTTCATTTCAATGTCTCTTATTTTGCAAATATTTGGGTTTGTTTTGTTATTAGGTCCTTATTTGTTATCAAATGACTAATGACTTTTCTATTCCTCACTTCCAGAGAAGAGATGTTTATGGTGCTTGGGAGCAGTGCCTAGGATTAGAACACTCAAATACAACTCGTTAGAGGGCTTATTCGTCTAGTCAGGTTATATTTTACTTGCATTTCAACAATGCTTGCAATTCAACATGCACACAAAAAAAAGGGGGGGGTTAAACCGTGGGAAATTCTGTAAATTTTATGCCCAATTCAAATATTATTTATTTGTTTAATTATAATTTATTTTCGGGTTACAACACACCATCCATTCAGAACATAAACAAAAACTACTAAATAGAATCATTATCCGTTCTGTTCATTGGCCAAATATGGAGGAAAATATGGAGAAGGAGAAAAAGAAACAATGCTTCTAGAGAAGGAGAAAGAGAAACAATGCTTCTAAATCATTATCCGTTCTCTTTCATTGGCCAAATATGGAGGACAAACAACTTTTTCAGAGAAGATGTGAAGATGTCGCTTCTGGAAGTTATACCCCTAAGGTTGTGTTACGTTTTTTGTTTTCTTCTAAAAGTAAAACCCTATTTTTAATTGAAAATAAAATTGAGTTTATTTATTATAATATTTTCATAAATAGAGTTATGAAACTTGAGATTGACAGCAACAACGTAATTTATGGGGATAGTGATTCATGTCCTTTTCAATTGTCTCATGAGATTTTGGCTCTTTCAATTATCTCCCTGGTGATATTGATAGAGGTATAGTATAATCTGACCTGTTGATTATGGGTATAGGCCTTTTCAATCGTCTCCAGATGATATTGATGGGGTATAGTATACGCTGGCCTTCTCAATTGTCTCTGATGAAAATTTGCCTTTTCAAGTCCTTGAATAAAACTACCTATCATAATGTTGTGACTTTTGAGCCGAGGTAGACTACTTTTTTCAAGCCTTCTAGCTCCTTGAATAAAATTATGCATTGTGATTTGTAGTGCCGACTTGGTGTGTTGTGCTAAAAGTTTACATTCAAAGGTTGTGAGATATTTGTTGTGTTGTGGTTAGTAGTCGATTTTGTTGTAGTGTTGTGCTATGAGTCCTGAGAAGTTGCTTGGTGGTGTGCAGAAAGTTCACATTCACGACCAGATCAAATTTCAAGATGTACAAGCAGTTCGTCACTTCATTGAGAACAAGCGTGGCTGTAAGGTATCCACAGAATCACGAGATTTGCCCCGCCGAAATCCAAAAACGCTTCGGTTGTGTCGTTCTACCCAAGCAAGCAACCGACATGACAGGCAAGCGCCAGATGTGTTTCGAGATGTTTATTGCTGTTGAGAGGAAGAACAAAAGGAAGATGTCCGACCTCGACCCCGACCCCGACACCGAACCCGACCCAGCCAGCCCCTCATCCAAAGGAAAAAGATTGAAATCTGGGCAAGGATCCACCCCATATGCCGGCAAAAGTGACGGTGCAAAAGAGGAAGATGCTGGCAGCAAAGGTGACGGTAAGCAGGAGGTATCAATCACAATCGAAGCATCTTTGGACTCCGGCGGGGCAAATCTCGTGGTTCTCTGGGTACCTTACAGCCACGCTTGTTCTCAGTGAAGTGACGAACTGCTTGTACATCTTGGAATTGATCCGGTCGTAAATGTGAACTTTCTGCACACCACCAACCAAGCAACTTCTCAGGACTCATAGCACAACACTACAACAAAATCGACTACTGACCACAACACAACAAATATCTCACAACCTTTAAATGTGAACTTTTAGCACAACACCCCAAGTCGGCACTACAAATCACAACGCCCAATGCATAATTTTATTCAAGGAGCTAGGAGCTACAGGCTTGAAGAAAAGTAGTCTACCTCGGCTTAAAAGTCACAACATTATGATAGGTAGTTTTATTCAAAGTCTTGAAAAGGTAAATCATCATCAGAGACAAACTATACTATATCCCCATTAATAATTGAAAAAGCCAAAATCTCAAGAGACAATTGAAAAGGGCATGAATCACTATCCCCATAAAGCTGTGGCTGTCAATCTCAATTTCATAACTCCATTTATAAAAATATTATCATAAATAAAGCTCAATTTTACTTTCAATTAGAAACAGGGTTTTACTTTTAGAAGAAAACAAAAAACGTAACACAACCTTGGGGTATAACTTACAGAAGCGAGTCATCTTTCAGTGTGAAAAGTTGTTTGTCTTCCATATTTGGCCAATGAAAGAAAAGGGATAATGATTTAGTACTATGCGATCCTTCTCCATATTTCCACCATATTTGGCCAATGAACAGAACGGATAATGATTTTATTTAGCAATTTTTGTTTATGTTCTGGATGGATGGTGTGTTGTAACCCGAAAATAAATTATAATTAAACAAATAAATAATATTTGAATTGGGCATAAAATTTACAGAAAAAGGTAAATTTTCATCAGAGACAAGAGTATATTATACCCCATTAATATCATCTGGAGACGATTGAAAAAGCTTATACCCATAATCAGGCCACACTATATTATACCCCATCAATATCATCAGGAGAGATAATTGAAATATCTTCAGGAGAGATAATTGAAATAGCCAAAATCTCAGGAGACAATTGAAAAGGGCATGAATCACTATCCAATTCTGTTGTTGTCAATCTCAAGTTTCATAACTCCATTTATAAAAATATTATAATAAATAAGCTCAATTTTACTTTCAATTAGAAACAGGGTTTTACTTTTAGAAGAAAATAAAAAACGTAACACAACCTTGGGGTATAAAAGCATATTTTCCTCCATATTTGATAATGATTCTATTTAGTAGTTTTTGTTTATGTTCTGGATAGATGGTGTGTTGCAACCTAAAAATAAATTATAATTAAACAAATAAATAATATTAAAATGGGATGAGCTTAGTGTATCTAACAATTTTGGATAGTTCACGGCAAAGAAAAACCCATATATGAACCCGGGACAAGTAATAAGTAGATCCAAAGTGAAAACAGCCGTGTGATATATGGGTGTTAAATTAGAAATTTATATTTATTTATTGTTTACTTGAAAAAACAAATAAGATTTTATATTAAAATTTCAAGTACTGCATAAATAATTGCATTATTATTTTAATAAAATTCACTCGTCTTGTATTGTAATAATTATTCAAAGGCTCGATTATTTAGTTGTAATTAATAATTTGTTTTTTTCTGGTACTATTTATTAATAAGTTAATTTTAATTGTTAATGCTAAATATAGTTATTTCATTTATACAATACGTATATAAAATAAAAATCCATCTAATGATGATTAATTTCATATCTTATCTATGGAAAAGTTAATAACAAATAATATAAATTATTTACTTTCAACATATAAATATATAATTTTTAAATTAGCAGTCTAGTAAGACATTTAAATGGACATATAAAAGAACAAAGAAATGGGTACATACGGTTGAAAAGCTTAGTGATTCGTGACTCGGAAAATTTGGGCATTTGCATATTTGGAGAGTTATAATTCATAAGCAACCGAATAAAAAGGAGAGAAAATTACCCCACCTACCATCAAGATTAATTTTATTTGCATATATACAAACCCTAATTTTTATTTGCATCTATAATAACACTTTTATTTTTATTTGCAATTATATCATTCTTTTTTTTTTTGGTCCACCAATTATATCATTCTTTATCTCCTCTCTTTTCCTTATTTCTTTCCTTTCTTTTCCCGTGGCTTCCCTATCTTCTCATTCTTCCAGTTTCTCACCATCTTCTCCTATCATTCTCTAGCCTTAAATTTATTAGCCATTAAAATTTAAAATTAGCAGCAGATTAAAAATTACTAAGCCACTACCGACGCGCACTCGGGTCTTTCCAAAGTTAGAGCGGATCTTGTGAGATGCCACAAACAAGCAGATCTCGTTCAGACCAGCTACACCGTCGACCAATCAGAAGTGTCATCATCTAGGACCGATGTCGGGCCGCACCGCTCGTCTCTTGGGGCGAAGTGAAGTCATAGAAACTTCTTTTCTTATTCGTATAGATTCATTTCTTCTCTAGCTCAATACGCACTAGAAGGAATTGAAGTTCATCTGGGAATTTCTTTCTAGGCAATGCTGTATGATTGTACACTATACATAATTTCCAATTTATCTTCAAATTAATGTCATATCAGACCTCAAGTAACTCTGACATCAATTAATTGTATCTCAACTGTGTCATATGACTGACATCGTATATAGTCAGTATATTTTCAGTATATGTTACGTTTTCAACTATTTCTTTAGCTGTATCTCAACTATGTCATATGACTAACTTTGTATATAGTCCGTATATTTTCAATATATATTACGTTTTCAAACATTTCTTCAGCTGTTGAACATGCAAAATCTATAAAGTTCATACGCCCTCTGATAATACTTTTATACAATTATCTATATCCCTATATAATTCACTTTTTTTAATTGAAATTTGAAAATGCTATGTTTTAGCAATAAATCTTCAACGTGACTTTTTTTTTATCTAATTTACAATTAATTATAATTATAATTTTTTATATATGAGAAGAATCCCGTAACTGATGGATACTCCAAATGTATGTTGAAAGTCTTCTTCATCCTTTTCTACAATCTAGTATTTATATAATTTTTTATGGTCAATTAAGTATGGTTGCAAATAAGTTTTGGAGTTAGTATTTTTATAATTATTTAACAATCACTACAGTGTGTATGTAAAAACAATTTAGATACTTACGCAACCAATTATCAATTAGCGCCTGTAGCTCAGCGGATAGAGCGTCTGTTTCCTAAGCAGAAAGTCGTAGGTTCGATCCCTACCTGGCGCGATTGCTTTTTTATCTTTTTTGTTTTTTTTAAATTAGTTTTGGCACAAGGACAAGGCCGATTGTTTAATCGAGCTTTCCACTAATTCTCTGTATCGTATTACGCATTTACTCATCTACTTTGGCATACACTTTC